ACCGGTGTATCAAATTTGGCATGCTTACTCTGAGATTTTCCCATACTGGCTGTTTTCTGTTCCCTGTGGATTTCTCTTCAACGCGCGTTTTCTTTAATCTGTTTAGGCGTCCCTAACAAATCCGACTCTTTTCTTTTAACCCAAATCGGTCGGGTTGCACTATTAGTGCCCTCCTAATTATGGTTTACCAAAAAATTCTGGTTCCCCCTAATTAGCCTCAGTACCAAAAAACAATTTACTCCGTCGTGGAACAACTAATTTTCAGGGTACCTATCTGTTTGAAATCTCTTGATCTGTTACAGTTCTCACTTAATCTCAGATTATTTATCTGCTTGAAATTTCTTGTTCTGTTACAGACCTCAATTAATCTCAGATTTTTCCCTCGTATCTGTTTGAAATTTCTTGATCTATATAGATCTCAATTAATCTCAGATTACGTACCACAGAAACAGCCTTCAGCCAATATGGTTCAATTTCACTCTTCTCCCCAATTAAACTGAATTTAATTAACTTACCCAAAAGAAAATAAATTGAACTGTCTCTTACCAGAGATGCTTCTGTTGCCACCACAGAGGTTAGTGGATAAAACCATGACGGTGTGTGTAGTAGGGTGGCCATACGTCCGGATTTTGGCCGGACAGTCCGGAGTTGCGCTGAATTGACCTAAAAAAATTAACTTATAAAAATCCCGCATATCGATAGCGGCTCCCTGATGCCCGCAAATTAGTTAAAATCTCCCGGAATCTAGAGCGCGCGTGCGAGATGGAACATACTGCGCGCATAACATACGACGCGAACGGCAGAGAGGGAGAGAGCGAGAGACCTTGCGTGTGTGCGCATGTAAGACAGAGAGCATCCTGATTGGCCTGTTTCGGTAACTCAACCAGTCAACCCCCCTAATATCTCTAAAAAATACGATATTATGCCTTGTGCACTTTATGTTGATTTTATATATTTTAATTTAATAATTTAAAAGTGTTAATAAGACAAATAAACATAAGTTTTGTCTTTTTTGCTGATCCGAAAAATGATCCGATCTGTGACTCTGATCCGAGAAACAATCCGAACCGTGAGTTTTTTTATCCGTTGCACCCCTAGCGTAAAAGCGTAAAAACTTTTTTGCGATAAATGGGAGTTTTTGCGAAATTGACATGTTTCCATTGTGCGTGTTTTCAATTCGCAATTTCAATTTGCGGCTAATGATTAAATGACTATGACTGAAACCAGCAAACCACTTCAGCTGTTTTTCAACAGTGTCCTGAGAGCAAATGAATAAATACAATAATTTTTGCTTTCATATTTGAAGTCCAGGCACATGCAGCGCACCGTCATGTTGCTCTGGCTGTTGAATTATTATTTCTCCTTGGGTTTGTTTGTGGCCGCATCGTGAGATTCAGATACAAGACAGACTGATGTAGTTTATCCGTCCACCTGGGGAAGTTCTTATTGCAATCTTTAAAAACCTACATTAATATAAAGCGCTTCCATAAACACACACAGGAGTTAGAGTGGGTGTGTGTGTGTCGTCTCCTGCTGCTCATTAACAGCTGTGTGTTTAATTATCCCCTGTGCTAATGAGCCCAGTGTGGCAGGGCCAGCATATGGATGGGCCGAACCTTCACGCTACGGGTCCCAGTGAGGGACACAAGAGACAACAAACATCCGGCAGGATCACGAGCCGCTGTTTGTCGTTCGGTGTTTGCACCTGAGAGCGTGAGCTCTGCTGATTAAAGTTGTCTGAGTCTTATACAGTTTAATTACTTTGGGTAATTAGCCATGAGCTTTTTAAGACTGTATACTATGAAGTGGCGTTCATTTAAAGAGGACCGATTCTGCTTTTTTCCATGTTTGTCTTTCTTTAGTGCGTAATGTTGCTAAACACAAAGTGCCTCCATTGGGAGCTCTTCTCTATATCAGTGTCAGTGTTTCTGAACTCCTGAAACGCCTCCATTGTAGTCTTGAGTTTCTTCCGGGAACGAACACGTCACAATATTCCTCATTTAATAATAATTAATAATTCATACGGGGGTGGTGATGGCACAGTGGATAAGACACATGCCTTTGGTGTGAGAGACCTGGGTTCGAATCCACTGTGAGACACCAATGTGTCCCTGAGCAAGACACTTAACCCCTAGTTGCTCCAGAGGCGTGCGACCTCTGACATATATAGCAATTGTAAGTCGCTTTGGATAAAAGCGTCAGCTTTTAAATGTAAATGCATACACAGAATAAAGGGGGGGGGGCCTGGTTGAGTTAGTTAGTAGTGTGTTAAACTGGCGGTTATGGAAAGAGCGGGACATTTCCCAAACACACTCGAAGCGCTCGACCAATCACAACACACTGATCCAGCCGACCAATCAGAGCACAGTGTGCTTTTCAGAAGGAGGGGCTTCATAGAGACAGGAACTAAACAGAGCGGTACTGACAGCTGCAGCAATGTCAAATATGGGAAAAATTAGTTTTTTGAACATTCAAGCTTTAAAACTTGTTCTAGTAGAGCCCAAAAACAAAATCAAGACTTAAAAGAGCATAATATGGCCTCTTTAATATTAATAATGTGGCTTACTTTCAAACTGGTTTCCTGAACAAACCCCCCGTCTGCCATTGGTCAGTCAAACCGATAGTCCGGCCTTCAAACTCTCATCATTGGTTGAATCAGCTTCTCAAACAAGCAAATCAGTGTTTTAATAGCAGTTACACATTTTCCCTCTGCATATTAAACTGGAACACAAGAAGGTATTTAATTATATAAAAAAAAATACCACACATAACCTTTAAGAAAGTAAAATTTGAAATATGTTGTCTTCAGAGGCGAATGCACTGATCTTGTGGTGTGTTCTGAGTTCTCGTTGGGAACATTTGCGTCAGATATCAGAGACAAACTCTCAGGAGACTGATAGAACGAAGATGATGATCAAATTAGTGAGACCGAGACGAGAAGAGCAGCAGTTGTGAATGATGAAAGCCAGGGAATGTGTGTAGGAGGAAGAGAGTGAGTGAAACGGAGAGAGAGAGGCGTGTGATTGGCTGTTTGACACCTATCACGCTCTGAAGTGTTTCTCCCGCTGTCCTCCACAGTCATTAGCCTTCGATTAACCCTCCCTCGCTCGTGTGTTCGCCTCGGGTCTGTTCACGCGCCCTGACGCTCATTTCCACGTCTAAACAGCCGCTTTTACACGGCTGGCGCTCCCGGGAGTCGCAGGATTCTGTGTTTTGTCTTATTTATTTTTGTAGGAGTTGCACATTAGCTCTTCCAGACATTAGAGTTTGAAACAAGCCGTTTGATTGCGTTTTTACTTCAGTGATCATTGAGTGTCAGTCCAGTTAAATCGATAATATTACTGAATACTAGGGGTGTAACAGTCACAACCATTATAATTATTCTATTATAATTAAAATTTTCTAAAGGATAAAAAAAATCTATCTTGGCTAATGCTGTGAACTACTGTATATAGGGAGCTCTTAATTACACATTACTATAAAATTAAAGGTTACAATTAACAACAGAGCCCAAATTATTATATTCAGTTGCTATTTATTTCTAGATATAATAAACACTCAAAAAAGTACTTTAAATTGCACATAAGGCAGGTTTTGCATTAACTTTTAAATCTAATTTTAAAGCTAATTTTGTACTCCAATTCATTTTTGAAATATAATCATTTACACAGTGGCTGTCATAACTTAAATTTATTGAAACATACAATAATAATCAAGACATTACTAACAGGTTAAGTAAATATAATGAATGTGCTAATATAGTGCATACATGAAATGCTTCTCTCTAGAGTTTAATGTAATGTAGAGGTAATTTAATGCTGCGTGAGATATTATTCTCTAGCTGTTTTATTGATATCTTTCAGCAGTTTAAACACTGGTTGAGAAATGTAAACGTATCGAGCGATCGTCTCTTCTTCTTCTGCACTTTTTACTGCTAGCAAACAGCATTGCATTACCGCGCGCCCTTCTGGATTGGAGTGTGGATCGCCTGTGACTGAATGTATTCGTTGTGTGAATACTTTACTTTTACTGTGCATGGGATATTTTAGATCAGTGAAATAGTAATAGTGAAATAATTGTACATGAGGTCACTATTGCTACACCTCCATATGTATGTAATCAGAAACCAAATACACCAGAGACATCATTGATTCAGAAGTTATTGAACTTTGTAATGAAATTTTTTATTATTGGTGAGAGAAAGTGGCTGGAGAAGATGTGCGACACGTCAAAAATAAAATAAATAAATAAACAAACCGATATATGACTCGTGGTGACATGAGAGCGGAGGAGTGCTGTGAAATGGGCAGAATGAGAGCGACAGGGACGAGTACAAATATATCCACAAGTGTCAATCATTGGGCAAAGTGGAGAAAATGACCACTATTGGTGAAATTGGAAGAATAGATGCTGCCGACACTGTTATCCAATGCTGGAAACCTTCCTCGATCACACAGTTATGGAGACGCTTTAGTTATAACGGCCCACAGGACCAGAAATTGATGTCATTTGGGACGTGTCCTCAGATTGTCCTGGCGTTCACGTTTTTCAAGACTTTTTCCGGTATAAACTGGGATGTTTTTTAGTCCATAGCCGTGGAAAGTGCATTGGGAAAAAGGAAAGCTTTTTAGGCACATACAATTTAAAATATGCATGAACACTTATTAAACTCTCACAAAATGAAGGAATCTCGTGTTGTGGGCCGTTTGCTATTAATATTACTCAGACTGGCATGGTGCTTTTGCCAGGATGAAATGGAGAAACTGAAGGATTAATTGACCTCGTACGGTCCTGATTTATGAATTGGCTGGTTGCAGCTCCTCCTAGAGTCAGACAGGTGTGCTGTGCATGCATGAGTTATTTGAGTCTGTTTTGGGACTATTTTGGGACCAGAAAATGCCTTTTATCTGACCCTTAAATATTCAAGTGCTTCTCTTTGAGTGTGTGTCTTCGTGTGTTATTCTGAGGTCTAATCTCACTCTCTATTATCTGTGTTTCAGGAGTGTGCGGGCGAGCCTCTCTTCATGCTGTATTGTGCTATAAAGCAGCAGATGGAAAAGGGTCCCATCGACGCCATCACCGGAGAAGCCAGATACTCCCTCAGTGAGGACAAACTCATCCGGCAGCAGATCGACTACAAAACACTGGTCAGTGGTTCTGAATGCATCAGAAACACAAACTACATCGTGTCATAATTGTCTGTTTTGCTTGTTATAAGATTTAAAGTGCCCCTTATAAATTTTTGTATATGATCTTTCATGTAGTGTGTATTAGAGCTGTTTGTGAAATGTAAAACCTCTGCAAAGTTTTAAAGATCAAAGTGCAGATAAAGTGATTCTGAACTGAAACGAGTCGTCAGTAATTCCAGTCTCTCTTCCTGATGAACCTACGTAAGTTTGCAACTCATTTGTATAATGCTCTTGATTGGCTGAACAGCATCTCAAGCCCCGCCCTCAATCACTAGTGTATCTGGGAGACTGGGAGAGTTGGGTTCGTGTTGTTCATGTCGAGAAGACGCTGTTTGAGATTGATACGGTAAAACCCACACCATCGTTACTGTTCGTATCACTGTGATCAAGAGCTGAGATTCAGATATGATAATGAGCGTTTGCTTTCTGACCAATCAGAGCAGAGCAGCTCTCAGAGAGGCGGGGTTTAGAGAGACTGAATCTTCAATCGAAGCGTTTCAGACACTGAGAGAAAAGAGCTGAAGCTGCAGTGGAGATTATGAGAAAATTAGTGTTTTTTGACCTTTGATGCATGTAAACCTGTTGTCGGAGACTCTAAACAACATTAAGAGCCTTTAAAATAGCATAAAAGGGGCACTTTAAACACTATAATTGTATTCCGCTGTAGTGTTTGTGAGATGTGTTTAATCCTCTGTTGTGTCTGCAGACGCTGCACTGCATTAACCCAGAGAACGAGAACGGCGTGGAGGTCACCGTGAAATGCCTGAACTGCGACACCATCACACAGGTCAAAGAGAAACTGCTGGACGCCGTGTTTAAAGGCACTCCGTACTCGCAGCGGCCGAAAGTCGGAGACATGGACCTTGGTACGGAAATAATGAAAGCTGGAAAATCGATCAGGGATGTGTTTCCCGAAAGCATCGTTTAGCCAACTATGTTCGCAAGTTCCGTAGTTTTCAGTATAATTCAACGAGTCGGTGTTTCCCGAAACCATCGTTTCAACGAACATCCGCAAACAGCATCGCAGAGTTGTGTGTGTCCGAGCGACCGATCTCGAGCTGCGGTTAGAAGCAGTTTCTAGATTGCATGACGTGTGGACTCAATAAATCCTGATCATGAGCAAAATAAGCAAGCGGACATTCAGTGCAATCTGTATCTTTTATTTAGAATACATAATGTCATTTACGTCTTTTAGTTTGTCAAGAGTTTTAAAACACCGTTTTTGAAGAGTGCGCATGAGTGAACGAGCTTATGATTGAATCTGGAAATAAAGCAAAATATTAGAATTTGTCCTCAGATACATGTCTGTAATCTATAGCAAAACATCTAGCATTAATTCGATCTCAAACAGATTCATTAAAGAAATGTATTACTCCAACACCTGCGTGACATCAATGTGGTTGAACTACCAATTTGCGACAATAAGGTTTCGGGAAACAGTCGTGACGAGCTCGCTGATTTCTTCAACGATGCATCGTACTATAGTAGTGAAGGACGAGTTACACAGTTGTACGGGAAACACAGCCCTGGTTACAATGCTTGAACAAGTTGCTCAACCACGTTGACTTTAAACACGCCAGCAAATGATCATGAGTAACCAGCTGAATGTGTAGATTAGCTGTATTACATAGAATGATTTTGGCTCATGTGTGTTTTGCTCTGATTTGTGATCAGAGTGGCGGCAGGGTCGCATGGCTCGCATCATTCTCCAGGACGAGGACGTCACCACTAAGATCGACAACGACTGGAAGCGTCTCAACACACTGGCACACTATCAGGTAACCGCAGCTGCACATCTTCTGCCCGGTTACTATGGCAACACCTCTACACCCCGCTGCCCAGTAACCACGGCAACCCCTCGGCAGGTTACTTGGTAACAATTGAAGCATTTTAACACATAGCGCACGATCAGGTAACCTTAGCAACACTTCACAAAACATAAGCACAGAAGCAGCGCTGATCAGTAGTGATGCACTTATATATATATATTGATAACTGATCATTATTCTTGTTATGGCTGAGGTGATGACTGACATAAATATCCGTTCACAAAAAGAGTCTGGATTTGAGATGTTTATCTTTACAAATTTTACATTTTCATGATGTCAAGTTAAAATAAAACTAGATTAAAAAATTAGTCGAGACAAACTTTGATGCTGTCTTGCGAAAGCCTGACCAGAAAGTTTAAAGAAGTATTAAAAGCTTGAAGGTTTTGAAGGCAATACAATAGATTAGCACATTGCGAGCACGAATTACCGTAGTTTTAACACACAGCTAATATGAATTAGCATGTTTAGCACGTTGTTAGCTTGTCCTAAGGTAGTTGCTAGGGTAGCACTAGATACTTTGTGTATGATGCTGAAATTCGCTATTAGAGCTATTGTCTAAAAGTTTTGAAAGAATTAAACATTTTCATATTTACATGTTTTTTTTAAATGGTGTTTTTACAATATACAGGTCCTCCTCAAAAAATTAGCATATTGTGATAACGTTTATTATTTTCCATAATGTAATGATAAAAAATAAACTTTCATATATTTTAGATTCATTGCACACCAACTGAAATATTTCAGGTCTTTTATTGTTTTAATACTGATGATTTTTGCATACAGCTCATGAAAACCCAAAATTCCTGTCTCAAAAATTAGCATATTTCATCCGACCAATAAAAGGGGTGGTGATGGCGCAGTGGATAAGACACATGCCTTTGGTGTGAGAGACCCGGGTTCGAATCTACTGTGAGACACCAATGTGTCCCTGAGCAAGACACTTAACCCCTAGTTGCTCCAGAGGCGTGCGACCTCTGACATATATAGCAATTGTAAGTCGCTTTGGATAAAAGCGTCAGCTAAATGAATAAATGTAAATGTAAAAGAAGTGTTTTTAATACAAAAAAAAAGGTCAACCTTCAAATAATTATGTTCAGTTATGCACTCAATAGTCAATACTTGGTCGGGAATCCTTTTGCAGAAATGACTGCTTCAATGCGGCGTGGCATGGAGGCAATCAGCCTGTGGCACTGCTGAGGTGTTATGGAGGCCCAGGATTAGGGGTGGGAGAAAAAATCAATCCATCGATGCATCGCGATTCTCTCTCCAACGATTCTGGATCGATTCTGAGAATTCCAGAATCGATTCTGAGCTTAGTTTTTAACCAGATGTGCGATGACGTTGAGTTTGCTTTAGAAACACCCGTATTCTGCTTGCTTCCAATTCCTCACACACATACACATACACCACTCAAACCTTCCGTAAAATAATCTTTCATAAAGTTCGGAAAGGTTGAAGCGAATTACAAGGACATTCACAGGCTTCATTGCACAGGATACGCTGTGAGAGACGCGCGCTTTCTTTGATGTTACACTTGAAGTGTGCTGTCTCGCCCGTCGGTATTTTCCTTACAAATGCTCTACGAAGTCATCATTTATGTGGTTTGGAATGCAGTGGACTTTATATTTAAAATATGAACCTCACTAACAGAAGGCTGCTTTCAATTTCAAATGCTGACGCGCGCTTTGTTTGAGACTGCTCGCGCATGCGGCTGTGCGACTCCGTGTAGTGGTTTAATGTAGCCTACTTGTGCAAAATTAACGTAAACACAGCCAGTTATGTCTTAAGGGATTAAACGGACAGGACACACCGCATTACTTCTTTTATTTCAAAAGAGATGCGTGCGTGAATGCAGCTTAATAGATCTCCCGCAGTTTATGATGTCATAGTAAAAAACAACAGTAAAGATGAAGAAAAATCACTCACAGTTCTTGAATGGAAAACGTTCAGATAATCTATAGGCTACTGAAAGCACTTTTTGTTTGTTGTTTGTTATATTTTTCTATGCTCCTCTTTATTATTTGTTATATTAGTTAGCCTATATTAGTTTAAAATTCTTAACATACAACTGTTTTAATAAAAAACAATTAATTTGTAATTATTTTTTAAGAAGTACTTAATTACTTATGTAAACTAATGAATTAATAAGGGAGGGGGGGGGGGGAGGTAGATAAAAAATCGTTCTGGAATCGGATCGTGACTCCCAGAATCGGAATCGGATCGGATCGTGAGGTGACCAAAGATTCCCACCCCTACCCAGGATGCTTCGATAGCGGCCTTAAGCTCATCCAGAGTGTTGGGTCTTGCGTCTCTCAACTTTCTCTTCACAATATCTCACAGATTCTCTATGGGGTTCAGGTCAGGAGAGTTGGCAGGCCAATTGAGCACAGTAATACCATGGTCAGTAAACCATTTACCAGTGGTTTTGGCACTGTGAGCAGGTGCCAGGTCGTGCTGAAAAATGAAATCTTCATCTCCATAAAGCTTTTCAGCAGATGGAAGCATGAAGTGCTCCAAAATCTCCTGATAGCTAGCTGCATTGACCCTGCCCTTGATAAAACACAGTGCACCAACACCAGCAGCTGACATGGCACCCCAGACCATCACTGACTGTGGGTACTTGACACTGGACTTCAGGCATTTTGGCATTTCCTTCTCCCCAGTCTTCCTCCAGACTCTGGCACCTTGATTTCCGAATGACATGCAAAACTGAGCAACAGTCCAGTGCTGCTTCTCTGTAGCCCAGGTCAGGCGCTTCTGCCGCTGTTTCTGGTTCAAAAGTGGCTTGACCTGGGGAATGCGGCACCTGTAGCCCATGTCCTGCACACGCCTGTGCACGGTGGCTCTGGATGTTTCTACTCCAGACTCAGTCTACTGCTTCCGCAGGTCCCCCAAGGTCTGGAATCGGTCCTTCTCCACAATCTTCCTCAGGGTCCGGTCACCTCTTCTCGTTGTGCAGCGTTTTTTGCCTAACTTTTTCCTTCCCACAGACTTCCCACTGAGGTGCCTTGATACAGCACTCTGGGAACAGCCTATTTGTTCAGAAATTTCTTTCTGTGTCTTACCCTCTTGCTTGACGGTGTCAATGATGGCCTTCTGGACAGCAGTCAGGTCGCCAGTCTTACCCATGATTGCGGTTTTGAGTAATGAAACAGGCTCAGAGTTTTTAAAAGCCTCAGGAATCTTTTGCAGTTGTTTAGAGTTTATTAGTTGATTCAGATGATTAGGTTAATAGCTCGTTTAGAGACCCTTTTCATGATATGCTAATTTTTTGAGACAGGAATTTGGGGTTTTCATGAGCTGTACGCCAAAATCATCAGTATTAAAACAATAAAAGACCTGAAATATTTAAGTTGGTGTGCAATGAATCTAAAATATATGAAAGTTAAATTTTTATCATTACATTATGGAAAATAATGAACTTTATCACAATATGCTAATTTTTTTAGAAGGACCTGTAGAATTGTATTTTTATTTTATTTTTTACAAAATTGCAGGTTTCAATATAGAGTTTTCAGTAGCTTGATGAGATATTGGTGCCAGTGCTGAGTGTCTGATGTATCTGTGTCAGTAATAATCAGTGTCAATCTGTCTCTCTCTCTGTTGTCTAGGTAACAGATGGGTCAGCGATCGCATTGGTCCCTAAGCAGAACTCCGCCTACAACATCTCCAACTCCTCGACGTTCACCAAATCCCTCAGCAGATACGGTGAGAGAGCTCTGCTTCTCTCTCTCTCTCTCTCTCTCTCTCTCTCTCTCTCTCTCTCTCTCTCTCTCTCTCTCTCTCTCTCTCTCTCTCTCGCTTTAGTGCAGTATAAAATCAGAGCTCACTGCATCAAATACGGCTCACATTCTATTGCCAGTATATTTTTTTAATTTTAGTCATTTTTAAGTGCTTTTTATTCGTTTTTTGTTTTCATTAAATACATTTCTATTTAGCTTTAGCTTATCTTTTATTTCAGTTTTAGTCATTTTAATACATAAACTTATTTATACTACGGGGCTGTTGAATGCTAGCCTGGTCCCACCAGACTCTCGTACATTTCATTTGTACAGAGAGTCTGGCCTCGCTCCATTGACAAGCGTTAACGTCCTTGTAGGCGGGTCCTCTGTTGATGTTTAAAACCAAGCGTGCCGCACAGGCCCTGAAAAGTGAAGCCCAAACGTCTCGATCGCCCCCCCGGTGGCCGGTCCTAGTATAGCTCATAAACCCCGCCTCCCCATGTTATTCAACGGCACGTGAGACCAACTAAACAATTAAATTACACTTCAAATATCGTTTTTCCAAAGATGGTTTCTGTCATTTACTGTAGTTTTTATCACGCTGATGTAATTTCAAGTGTTTGTTTTTAAAAGAAGTTTGTTTTTAGTTAGTTATTTGATGTGGTGGTGGTGACGTCATGATTGACAGCTGTGATTGACAGGTTCTCTGAGCGAAGTAGTCACTGAAGCACCAACAGACTTTTTTTCGGGATCTTCAGAGGACTGAGGAGATTGGAGCTTTAAATTTAATATCTAAATTTCTATAATTAATTAAAAGAAAGTGCAGGAGCGTGTGCTTACGATTGATTCTGCGAGAGTGAGGGCGGGGCCTTGATTTCGTGGCTTTACTTCCTGCTCCCTCCTGCGCAGGTCTGGTCCCGAGATCGCTACTGCGCAGACTCAAGTTCCAAGATGTCAGCGCCATATCGGGACACTGGCGGCTTCACTTCTGACCAATGGAAGAGAGCGAAGGGGTGTCGTCCATCTTTTTTTACAGTCTATGTTTAAAACTATTGCATCTGCCCAGAGTCACTCTGGATCTGCCATAACCAATCGCTGACGTTTGGTCGTGACGCATGACGACTCAAACCACTCAAACTAGCGCACGACATCAACGTCATCGTCCTCAGCCACTCCCTCTGTTCGCTGATTGGCCCGGTAAAAAATTGACCGGAGAAAACCAAAGAATACACCGCAAGCCCAGACGTAGTACTGAAGGAAAATGAAAATTGAGCGGGAGTACGTAGGAGGGCGGAGCCAGGCTAGTTGAATGCTTGATTCTGATTGGTTGACGAGCGCTCTAAGATGTGCAGTTATTTTCAGGGAAACGCACAGCTAAAGTAGGTCCAGCAGGTTTTAACCGCATCACAGCTCCATATCACTTCGCCAAATGATTTCAGTTATTATCTTTACAGCCGACAACAGCCAAAGAACCAAAACCCACAGCGACACTGAACAAGCAAATATATATAACAAACAATAGGATAAAAATAAGAAATTATTTATGTTTTTACCACAAAATTGCATTTTATTATATACAGAAAACACATACTTTTTCTCCCGCTCACACACACAGTATGCACACACACACTTACACAGAAACCTGTTGTCAGCGCTGCTCTGATGATTTTATTAGTAAAATAGTTTAGAAGCCTAAAAGCTACAAGACATTTCTCACTAGCGATGTAATAACGGCTCTGTTCTTGAAGCAGATAAACTTCCAGTTTCACTATTAGTGGAGACCGTCTGCTGAACACTGTTGCGAGTCGGGTAATTCACACACGCTTAATCTCTCTCAATTCAATTCAAATCAGCTTTATTGGCATGACTGTGTGAAATAGCACAATATTGCCAAAGCAATAGACATATACAAACATATAGATAAATAAAAAGGGGTAAAATAAATACAGAGAGCAGTTTGAAGTTCTCTCTCTCTCTCTAATAAGTCTGCTATCAGTGGCTCAAGCCTCCGTTAATAGCTCTAAAATGACATTTATCAACAGAATTGTGGGATGAGAGGTGTAAGAAATTAGTCCTTCACATGAGTGTTTTGAGGACAAACACCTGACAAATGACAATATCTTGATGTGTGGTAACCATAGTATAAGTGTAATAATTTACTCCTGCTGTTGAATTATTGGAAAATAATGCACACCGGGAGGTGTAACGGACACATTACCACATCAGGTGTGCATTATTTTCTAATAATTCAATGGCTCGTCTTCAATTATTCCTTATTTCAGTTTCTGAAGTTGCCAAGGAAATAATCCATTGCTATTGTAACAAACTTGAAGGAATTAATTTGTTACATTTATATAGCGCTTTTCTGGGTCCTCAAAGTAATCCGCATACATTTTAACTAAAAGCTAAATACACTTTTTTAACATATGTCTAAAAATAGGTATTATACGGAATTAATAATGAAGTAAGCATTACTGTAGTAGCCAATTTTATTCTGAAATAGCCTTTCTATATTAAGTTTCTCTTCGGGATGGTTTTCCTCTTGTGTTCTCCAGTTGTGTTTGTGGTTCCTCCTAATGCGCCGGTCCTCAGTGGGACAAACCCAGCGGTCCAGAGCTTCAGACAGACTCAAATGATGGATATCAAATCCAGAATCTGTGTTTGGCAGTGAGGGAGAAAAGAAACAGTTTTTACTCTCTGCCCAATTTTGATTTATCACTAGGTTTTTATCACTAGACAATATTGTTTTGGACGATGTCACTCCCTCTGTATTTCACTCTTAATTGATCATTTCTCTCCAGTCTAGTTTCTCTTCAGGCGTACAGTAAAGTCCACTTACAACTGAATGTAAGGAGTGTCATGTCTCTCTCTTCTCACGTTGTCTGAACAGAGAGCATGCTGAGAACCGCCAGCAGTCCCGACAGCCTTCGCTCGCGGACGCCCATGATCACACCTGACCTGGAGAGCGGGACCAAACTCTGGCACCTGGTGAAGAACCACGACCACATGGACCAGAGGGAGGGCGACCGCGGCAGCAAGATGGTGTCCGAGATCTACCTGACGCGCCTGCTGGCCACCAAGGTGAGGAGAGACACGAGTCGTGTCCAAATTACCAAGCGGCAACCTTCCGGTCGCTCTCTTGAATCCAACATGGAAAAGACTTAACCTGCAGTTCATCGACTGGCCACTAGAGGCCGGCTGCAGAAGAGACTCAATCCCATAGACCCGCATGTTAAAATGGCCAACTTTACAGCAGAAAAAAACATGTTTACAGTCTGGTGCAAAAGTGGTTTTGGTCTATATAGCTCATTTTGCCCTTCATGACGACTGAGGGGGTGAATTTTTTTATCACTAATCCGTTTAAATTATATTAAGCCCTTAAAGTTGTGCATAATTAAGGGCGTGGCCACTTGAGTGACAGGTGGATTGCCGCTGATGTCACTACTACCCGTTTGTCTGCTAGCGTTAGCGTCACATGACCTCAGCTAATCCGCCTCTTTGCCCATTTTCGTTTATCCGGGAGTGACGCGCTGCCAAGATGGCGACGGCCGGCTCCGCCAACTTTGGGCTTCAAAAATGCTCTTCAGAAACACTACGCGTGACGTCACGCACACTACGCCCATATTTTTTACAATCTATGCAAATTACGCACTATACACTATGCACTTATACACTGTGTACTACTAATGCACACAACTGTGTAGAGTATGAACTTTTATTTATTTATGTACATTTTTAATGCATTTTAATTAGAACAAAACATAATTTACATACATTAGTACATATAACCATAAATGTCAGGGGGAAACAAAAGGGGGAAAAATGAAAGAAAGGCAAAAGTAACCGTTATAAAATTGACAGTTATTCCTTGTGAAGCGTAAATTGTAATTTCTTTGACTTGACTGTGAAATGAAGCAGCATCAATGATGTATGCAGCCGACAAATGAGACACAGCTATACACTATTATAGTTTATATTCATATTAGCTTTTATTTTTATTTTTAAGTTTTAGTCATTTGTAATGTGCTTTTGTTTCTTTTTAGTTTCTGTTTCTTTAATTTTTTTAATATTTTTTTTGTTGTCATTTTAGTACTTACACATTTATTTCAGTTCAAATTTTCAATTCATTAAGTTTATGTTCAAGTTTTTTGTCTTACATTTATATTTTATTTCAATTACTGAAAACAGTTTTTAATAGTTTTAGTTGACTTATAACCACAGTCACATACTTGTAATGAGAGAAAATCACTCTCATTTACTCTAGTGTTCTGATGTATTACTCAAGCAAGAGTGTTTAGTACAGTGAAATCTGTCACTAATATTCTCCGTCTTGACAAACACACACACATTCAAACTAATTGCCTCACTTTTGAAGCACGTGTCTGATTGTCTTAGCTGAAGTCCTCAGACAGTTAGTGTTGACCTTTGTGTGTGAATGACTAGTTGCTCATTAACATTTACCAGTGCTCCTACTCTCATGGAGAACTGTATCTTAATTAGACCAATGACCTTTGCTTATTGAGCGGTTTGGGAAAAACTAGGTCTTTATCCATCCTGTGCTCCCGTCTCCATCTGACAGTACACAGAAATCTCACACCTCAGATGCGTTTCCCAGCGATCCGAGCTCAAGATCAGGTGCAGCTTTAATCAAGTCACACCTCAACATGTCTGGAGGTCACTGCATTAGATAACAGAATATCCAATCAATTAATGATATTTACTGTAAGAAAGATGGACAAACACTAAAAAAAAATCACCATTATAACTGATTAATTTTAGAATTTAAAATTGTTTATGTTTATGCTTACAAAAATACAAAAATAGTTTTTCAAAAATAGTTTTTCATTGAAGAATTTTACATTTCCATGTTTACAAAATTTAAATTTTATGAAATATATTTGTACATGTTTGTCTTTACAAAATTAGTTTTGCCAGATAGAATTTGTTTAGAATTCATGGCTCATAACTGATATTATAACCAAAATGATAAGTATGTACTCACAAAAAAGCTGTAGACTTTAAAATCTAGAAGTTTAAATCATCACTCATCATTTAAATCATAATTTTTTATTATTATTTTGAATCAATTATTTGTTTATCTTTGCAAAGGTTAATAAGTTTACATAGAAGAATTTTACTTTTTCTTGTTTACAAAATGACATTTTAACAATATAGAATTTACCTTTAAATCTGTTTTCAATACCTTCAAATGTATATATTAAATCAAATGTTGTTTGCTGTAGAGAAAGATGCACACACACTTTACAAACAAGAAATCTTAAAAATGTGAAGTTTGCATTGAATTTTACTTTTTCATATTTACAAAAAAAAAATTACAAAATAGATTTGTACATGTTTGTCTTTACAGAACTAGTGAACAGCAAAATTATAAGTGTGCTCACAAAAAAGCTGTAGAATCTTGAATTCTACGTTTATCTTTACTCTTATCATTTTTTATACATAAGTTTATATTGAAGCATTTAACTTTTTCATGTTTACAAAATGACATTTGCACAATATAGAATTTACATATAAATCTGTCTTCAATATAGCTTCAAAAATCTATATCAAATGTTATTTACAGTAAAGAAAGATGCACAAACACACTTCATCAAAACACCAGCAGATTCATTTACAGTCTAGAATTTTACATTTATCTTTACAGATGTTTGTTTACATTAAATCATTTTACGTTTTCATGTTTACAAAATTGTCATTTACAAAAGATTAGTTAGAAAATTAGTTTTACACTATAGAATTTGTTTAGAATGTATTGCTGATAACTGAAATTATGTCTGTGCACACACAAAAAAGTTTATCTTTACAAAGATTAACAATTTTTACATTGAAGAATTTTAAGTCAAGTCATCCTCATTTATATAGCACTTTTAACAGTGTAGATTGTTTGAAAGGCGCTTTACAGAGATTGTTTTGGCTTTATAGCGGTTCTTGAATAATGTTATTTCCAGCTAAAGTTAGTTTTGATTGATTCACTTCCGTCGAAATGATCATTTGTTATTAAATTAGGGGCCGCTAAGACGACGCCGTTCTCTCTAAACAGACTTTAAACTGAACCTGTGATAAACGCTGATGGCGTTCACATGCGCATTAAGAGTTGATTCTATAGTTATGTGCGTTTGAATATATGTGCGCAGGTATGTCATTCCCTACAATTTATTTATTTACCTTTATTGTACCAGGAAATAGTCCCATTGAGATTCAGAATCTCTTTTTCAAGGGAGTCCTGGCCAAGACAGCAGAATAATAGTTCCATATTAAAAAGTACATATACAAACATTAACAAAAACAAAACAAACAAGAAAAAAAAGTACATTTTGGCAATTTAACATACTCTCAACATAATCACCAGCCGCTCTCCATGCCTAAACAAGGCAAACCATGCCTAAACAAACTACTTGTCTTGCCTATAAATTCTGATACAGAATTTTATTTTATTTTACTTAAATTTTTACAATATGGATTTTACATGCAAGTCTGTTTAGATTAAATGTTGCAGTAAAAAAAAAAAAAAAAAGGTGCACAAACACTTTCCAAGCTAAAAAAATCCCTAAACCAGCATCTGCTGTGTGTGTGTGTGTGTGTCTGTCACAGGGCACACTGCAGAAGTTTGTAGATGACCTGTTTGAGACCATCTTCAGCACAGCTCACCGGGGCAGCGCTCTTCCTCTGGCCATCAAATACATGTTCGACTTCTTGGACGAGCAGGCCGACAGACACGTGATTTCAGACCCGGACGTCAGGCACACGTGGAAGAGCAACTGGTGAGTGTGTGTGTGTGTTCTGGAAAGTGAAAGCTTCTTTACGTCCTCTCGTTGTTTTCTCATGCGGTTTCTCCGTGTCTGCAGTTTGCCGTTGAGGTTCTGGGTGAACGTGATCAAGAACCCTCAGTTTGTGTTCGACATTCATAAGAACAGCATTACGGACGCGTGTCTGTCTGTTGTGGCTCAGACCTTCATGGACTCCTGCTCGACGTCAGAGCACAAGCTGGGCAAAGACTCGCCCTCCAACAAGCTTCTCTACGCCAAAGACATCCCCAACTACAAGAACTGGGTGGAGAGGTACGGCCCGGCTCTCTTCACTGTGAAACACGAGCTTACACTTCAGACGCTAGCAGCCGATCCACACGTACTGGACCATACTGCACATATTCACAATATAACAATCACGCTACATAGTGGATATTGCAAGGATTTAGCATTTTTGTATTTCTACACTTTTAATAGCATCTTTGACTTGTACTTCAGTAGCAAAAATAGTTGAGTTAGATTTAGTTGGTAATGTTGATTTATCTACATGATTCAGTTCAGTCTGTTTGTCAAGTCAAGTCAAGTCACATTTATTTATATAGCGCTTTTCACAATACAGATTGCATCAAAGCAGCTTCACAGTGATAACATGAAAGTAGTACAACACAGTTCAATAATATTGTTGAATATTAAATATCCCCAACTAAGCAAGCCAAAAGCAAGGCGACAGTGGCAAGGAACCAAAACTCCATCAGATTGGATGGAGAAAAAAAACCTTGGGAGAACCCAGGCTAGTCAGGGGCCAGTTCTCCTCTGGCTAACAATCCTGTTTGTGTGAATCATTTCATTTAAAATCAACTATTTATGGCATAATATAATTATTTTATGATGTTTATCACTCTGTATTGTTATATTGGTACAATATTATGCCCCCTTTTATTTAAATAGTGAAAAGCCATTTTTTAACAAAATACCTTGACTATTTTAGTTATATTTGTTACTATATTTGAATTCTTACATTTAAATAGTTTGTGTGTTGAATATCATCAAAACGAATAATATAGAGATATAACTGTTTAACACTACAGTTCAAAGGTTTTGGGTTGGTTGTGCTCACCATTTCAAAAATACAGTAAAAACTGTAAAAGTGTGAAATATTATTACAATATAAATCAGCTGTTTTCTATGTGAATATATAGTAGTGTAATTTATTCCTGTGATCTAAGCTGAATTTTCAGCATCATTACTCCAGTCTTCAGTGTCACATGATCCTTCAGAAATCACTCGAATATTATGATTTGATGCTCAAGAAACATTTATGATTATTATCAATGTTGTAAACGGTTGCGCTGCTTCAGATTTGTGTGGAAACCGTGATACGTTTTATTTTTCAGGATTCTTTAGTGAATAGAAAGAAACGTTTATTTGCAACCGTACTAACCCCAAACTTTTGAACATTAGTGTATAAATTGTCCATCTTTACTATGTAGACCTGCTATATAGACTAGTGTTCACAATGCAAAACAACCTCCCTAGTTCACTGTTTATTCAATAACAGTCGTTTTTAGTGCTAGAAACGCTGATCTTATAATTGAACATACAGGAAATAAAAGGCTCTGAAGTGTAGAATATGTAACTTTGATCATTGAAGATTTGATCTAAAGTGTGTCTGAGTTACAGCAGATGTCTGGATGTTTTGCTGTGTTTGATCTGCTAACGTGTGTGTGTGTGTGTGTGTGTGTGTGTGTGTGTGTGTGTGTGTGTGTGTGTGTGGTGCAGGTATTACTCTGATATCTCGCGGATGCCTGCGATCAGTGATCAGGATATGAGTGCGTATCTGGCTGAACAGTCTCGTCTGCACTTAAGCCAGTTCAACAGCATGAGCGCGCTGCACGAGATCTTCTCCTATATCACCAAATACAAGGACGAGGTGAGTACTAAAACAGCTCACGCCTCAGTACGCCCCCATGTCACATGTTCACCGGTGTGTGTGTGTGTGTGTTTCCGCTCGTGTAGATCCTGTCTGCGCTGGAGAGAGACGAACAGTCCCGTCGTCAGAGACTGAGGTCTAAACTGGAGCAGGTGATCGACACCATGGCTCTCTCCAGCTGATCGGGACTTTGGACGTCAACCACATTTTTGCGTTGTTTTTGGATGATTTGTTGTCGAGTGCGGTGGACGTTTTCACACAACACGGACAAAGACGCTCTTTCCTGTTTTGAAGAGACATTGAGGACGTTTGGGACCTCTAATGAAGTCATGTGACTGTGTCACGAGCCAATGATCGCGGCGGATCAAAGGACACTGATTGCGTGTTTACTATGTTTTATTATTTTGTACAAATGTTATCGACTGGCCCTGTCCGCTCTCTTTGCCACTTGTGTTTCTGCTGAATTTGCACAGTCTACAGAATCAACGAGCAACTGCCTCCATCTCTCATGAACACTACGGTCGGGCCAACGCAACGGGGCATCTTAGTGTCGACGAAGGGGAATTTGACTTTACACAATGACAAAAAGAAGGAAAAAAATGACAAAAATATGATTAAAAATCTTGTCTTGTGCCATGTTTTATTTGAATGTTGTTTATTGCTGAAAAGGTTTGTGAAGTAGGAATGTGCTCTGATTGTTTTACAGTGAAAATAGTGATGACAGAGGAGATAATTCTTCCAAAAATGTTTTATTTTGACTGAACTGCAAAGCTTTAATTACTATTTCATCAGATACGACAGGACGGACTCTTGATTTTAGACGCCAAACCAACTCAACTCTTCATACGCGTGCGCTCCGATCATTACACTCGTTTGTTCTGTTCATCTTCTGAAAAAATCACTCCGTTTACTGAGCCTGAGCTCAAATAAACGAGTGGAGAGGAGGCCGAGTGAATGGTTTCAGATCCACGAGTCAGTGTTTCTGCGGCATATCGATACTGAGGAAGGAGACGCTCGTTCATCAGAAGAGAGAAACGGCCTTTTGTCTTTTAACGAGACGGACCTGAGCAATCCTGATTGATTTCGACTGATCAATCGCTCTGGATTAAGAGGACATTGAGCGTTGCGTTTGTTTTGAATCATTTGTTTCCTCTTGAACCTGAGATCCATCCTTCATGAGCCAATGTTTCAGTGTTCATCGCTTCAGAACGCATTAAAGTGGTACGAGCCGGTATACATTTTGAAATGGACACAGAGAGAAAGATCATCAGTATCAGAGGTCAAGTATTGTTCTAGTTTCTCTATTTTCTTTAATCAATCCTCCATGCTCTCAATGAGTCTCTTCTGAAGGTTTTTTGAACTGTTTCTCCTATCATCTTCAACTTGATGACCCCGTGAGATCAACATCTATTAGATTTGAGTGCGTTACAGTATATGATAATGTCCTCCTGAAAAATGACCAAATTAAAGAGGTTTAGCATTTAAAATTAGCAGTTTCTCCTCCAGGAAACCAGACTGAAAATATTGGTGATTTTGCCATTTTTTTTCAATAACATGCAACTAAAATGGCTAAATAAAAGCTGTTTAAAAGTAATGAGACATGTAATGTTTTGAGAGATATGTCGTCAGCACAGGACAGATGCTCTCTTCGGGTCGTTTCATGGGGTCTTTAATGCTGATTTCACCAAAATGATCAGTCTAAAAGCCTTTTCACACCAAGAACGATAACTATATTGGCATCCACACCAATGGACAATAACATTGTTTATTCCAAGCATGCACTTCTGATATGTTCTGTGAATAAAATCTTTAAACAGGACGGATTTTGATTGGCCGTCAATGTTTTTATAATTCATGAGCTGGAAAAATAAATTGCTCTGCAAGTGATTCCAATTATGTATTTCCTCTGAGCCGTTACACTTCGCTAAAATGATATGATTAAAGTCATGATTCTTGGAGTGAACGAACCTCAAAACCGGTTTATTTTAACGGTTGTGACTAGATTAACCTGTTCGGCTCTGATAGTGATGTCATCAGGTGACCTCATCAGTGACGTCATGCATTTTTGCCCGCAGAAAAATAGTCTTTATCTTAACACTGAAGTTTAAACTTTGACTTGGTTTGCTTTGACTGACATTAATCTGTTCACCGTAATCTTCATTCAGTAAGCTTGATCTGTCAGTGTGATTGTTTACACTGTACACAACTGACCCTGGATCACACACACTCCCGGTTGGTTTCCACCGACTGAAGTCGTGTTTAGTCAGTGTAAATGCAGTGTACCTTCTTCTGATCAGTCGGGTTTGACTTCACATGCTTTAAAATGAGTTCAGAGCATCTCAGGTTCTCCTTGCGCTCTTGACTTTGTCGTTTCTTGACCGGAGGACTGCAGTGCTCAGTTTGCTGGACTCACTGCTGATGATCTGGACGTTTGGCTTGCGCTTCTTCCCAGGGACTTTCAATGTTTACACCTGAATGTCAAATCACATGTACAAAAAAATCACATTGTGTTGTTAATTTATTTATATTTTGATCCTGTCATTGTGTTTCTTAGATTGAAATGTGTCTAAACTGGTGCTTCTGAAGTGTTCTCTGCTCTTCTTTTATGTGTTCCTGTAATGGCTTCTACACTTTTCATGAATCTGCTCTTTAACTCGAGATCTCCATGATGTGACCACCATGATAACATGCAATAGTATTGCAGCACAGATACAGAAACTCGAACCTCATCCCTCCTTTGCTTCATTTCTTTCCAGTAATTTCTGAAAAATATTGAAGTATCTTTCCTTCAGACCTGAACACAATGCAGAGATGAAGCAAGATGGTTTGTGTTGTTGGTGAAACTGAAATAACAGCAGACCTTTGAATAATTATGATTCAGGACTCAGACTGTCACTGGTATCTATTCATGTGTAAATATTTGTTTTTTATTTAGCAGATTTACTACTTGTAAATAAACTGGCATCAAGGAGAGATTAAACATGTTTTTGCTAAAAACCCCTCTGGTGAATTTCCTTCTGTCTTTCCGATGGCAAATATTTCATCTTTTCAGATCAGGGATTTTCAATCACTTCTGTTGAACCTAAAGTTAAAGAACACAGCAATGAAGGGGATGAACTGTAAAACAAGTGCAAAACTATACACACAACAAGCTATGAACAGACATAAACTGATTAATAATGCAAAAGCTGACACTTTAGATAATTTCCAACAAAACAAAAATTATATACTGGTGTGTGTGTATATATATATATATATATATATATATATATATATGTATATCTCAAAACCTAATAAAAGTAATTATGTATGAAAAATTGCATAACCCAGTTTGTATTTTTATGTATAACTATACAGACATCTAGAGGTTATACCATGGTATTACACATGACTTTCTTTTCCCACCACTGACACTAATCTGCCCCATTTTACATTTCTTTGCTTTATTTTATCGTAAATACTGCATTAATTGAAAAATAGCAAAACAATACCCCCCACCCCCAGCATTTCCTTTTATGTCAGTTAAACTTAATTTTGTTTGTTTAAATTAAATGTACTATATAATAACCCTGACATGACTCATCTGAAATGCAGACAGTTACACTGGGAGCGCAAACAACATTTATTTGAGCGTAGAACAAAAACCGTTATGGCTCAGAAAAGAGAAAAGCAGACATCAATTAAATAAATGAAAGTCATGTTTAAAAAAAAAAAGATATTTGCTTTTAAAGAAAAGGCTTTTTTAAGGACTACAACAAACGGCTGGTAGGAACTACAAGACATTCCTCCCGGGTTAGTGACATCACCAACTCTAGAATAAACTCCACCCCCTGAACGCGATATATAGATTATCAAGACAGAATGCTAATCAATGACTAGATGATAACACCACATCTGCTACATAAATTCATTCACTAACCATTCAGAAATGTCCTGTTGTATTCTACGTTGTCACTTCTTTAGTCTCTCCATTATTGACTCCATTGACATCATCTGACTTCGGTTTGAACATAAAAGGCTAATAGTTTTGGGAATTTTCAGTGCATGTCTGTCTGAGGTAAATGGGCAGAGCTCTTGAAGCTCCGCCCCCTGTGCCGGGAGCAGCAGCTCATTTGCATTTAAAGGGACACACACAAAAACAGTGCGTTTTTGCTCACCCTCAAAAAGTGACAACTTTAACATGCTATATAAAAATATCTGTGGGGTATTTTGAGCTAAAACTTCACATACACAGTCTGGGGAGATCAGAGACTTATTTTACATCTTGTGAAAGGGGCATTATACCACCCTTTTAAATTTTCACTGGTTCTTACATGATCATGGCATGTTAAACTTCAGTCTGTAACTGCGTAAAATTTGTAAAATACCGTATATTATTGCAAATAAAGCGCACAGGACTACCATTATGATATTTTTCTCTGTCATTTTAGTTAAACAGCGTCAGTTTCCATTATAATTGATCTCGACTTTCTTTTTCTTTCCTTTATGTTATTGTTCCACCAAAGAAAGAAAATCTTAGACGTTTGTAACGACGTGATGGTAAGTGACAATGTACTTATTTTTAGATTAACTATTCCTTGAAAGGCTGCAAAGTTCTTGATAAAGTTTTGAAATAAACACTTCCTAATTAGTAGACGTTCAGTGTTCTTTTTTCAATGTTTATATGTAGATATTAAAATTCAGCTAGCTTTTAGATTAAATTATTTCTGGCCTTGTGTGGGTGTAAGTGTGAAAAGCACATTATAACTAAGTTCTGTTAATTACAGAAGTACATGTTTCCTCAGCTCCAGCGGGACACAGGACACCTCCCGTCCCTCCTCTGCTCAGGTGAGGAGATCTCACAGGTGTGTGTGTGTGTGTGTGTGTGTGTGTGTGTGTGTGTGTGTGTGTGTGTGTGTGTGTGTGTGTGTGTGTGTGTGTGTGTGTGTGTGTGTGTGTGTGTGTGTGTGTGTGTGTGTGTGTGTGTGTGTGTGTGTGTGTGTGTGTGTGTGTGTGTGTGTGTGTGTGTGTGTGTGTGTGTGTGTGTGTGTGTGTGTCGGATGGAAACACACCCAGGGTGCTTCAGTGATGGGCCAGGCGTCTCTGTGGGGTTCAGTAGCACCTGTTCTCGATCACCTTCAGCCTGAACACAGAGATTCAGATCTGGAGCACTTCCCATAATGTTCTCATTTACTCACGGTTA